ACTTGACTACAGAGGCAGGTCATCTCTAGGCAACACCAAGGATCCACCTGAAGCTGGGGATGAACAGATCAAGCGGTGCGGCAGTTTCCCAGCCTCATTCACCTCACAGGCACAGGGGTAGAGTAGATGAGACGTACTCAGGGTTACAGTGGTGAACAAGAGGCCCACAGTGCTGGCAGTGACTATAGGCAGAGGGCGTGAGAACCAAGGATGGAAGGAGATGAGGGGTGGGGATGGAGGTGGTGAAGGGGGTGCCATGCTGGCGCTGCAGTGCAAGCAGAGCCCTGGAGCTGTGCAATGCCAGGCCCTGCGGGGGAGTATGGCCGGCAGCGGCATACAGCATGTGCCAACTGTAGCTCTCAGGAGATGGCAAACGACTGCTGGTACTGGGTCCTAGAGGAGGGCTCTTTGAAACTTGGATCACAGAGGAGGTGCCATGGGGTCTAGTCCCTGACCATGGGAAGAGAGACTGTGCGGCAGAAGACAGGTGTGCACTGGAGGAGGGAACCAAGGGACTGGAGGGTCGGACAGCTGAAAGGACCACTGACAGGAGAAGAAATAAAGAGCTCTGGTGGGGAAGCTGTTCCATCTCCTGACTCAGGGTCACTCTAAAAATGAGGACAACTCAGGGGTCTGCTGCCTCTGAGTGCTATGGCCTGGATGGCATGAGATTCGATGCCTAGTAATTTAAGGGAGATGGCCTGAAGAAATCTGGAAGCTGTAGTCAAGGACAACTACTCCAAATATACAGGCTCACGGCAATTGAGGGAGAAAAAGATGTCTCTTTTTTTAGAGAGAGACTTTTTTGTTATAGGATGCATGTGCTTGCCAGAAAGACAGAAAGCAAGAAATCACCCCTTGGGGGGGGGGGAATGGCCACGGTGCAAACACTTCTCCTCCATTCTCCTTTCAAACATCTGCTGGTGGAACCAGCAGTTAGCATAATGGCTATGTCACTGGACTCCCATGTAGTTGACCACGGTTTGAGTCCCAGAGCCGGTGGCTTAAACTCACGCCGGGCGCGCGTGCGTGTGTGCCCAAGATCCCGAGAGGAGAATGGAGGAGAAGGGATTGCGGCATGGTCATCCACCCCGGGGGGGTGACTTCTCGCTTTCTATCTCTCTTTGTCTTTCTGGCAAGTGCACACACCCTATAGCAAAAACCTCTCCAAGAAAAGAAAATCTGCTGGTCCCAAGATGTCATCATGTGAAATGGCTAACAGAGAAACAGTGAGAGGAGGGTAACATTGTAGTTAGGACCAAGAGGGTAAACAACCTTCCCCCAAACGGGCTAAAGATATCTAAGACTTTCCTGATAACAAAGATCTGTAGGAAGGTCCCACAGAAACTGGGAAGGCCCAGAAAACAGGATCAGCCAAACGAGATGACCCTGGGAGACCAGAGAACGAGGAGCCGAGGCTGCCGTGCTGACTGAGGCACACGACCAAGGCGCAGGATGGGATCAGGTCTGGAGAGCTCAGCAAGGATGGAAGACGGGGGGCCAAGGCAAGGTCTCCCTGCCGGGGCATCAGGGTGAGACAGTGCCGGACAATACTTTGTTGTGGGGTTGTGCTGGGTAGGATCCTTAGAGGCATTTCTGGTCTATATCCACTTGGCCGTAGCATCCCCTCCCCAGCTCTGACAACCAGAAATGTCCCTAGATGTGGTCAGGGGACCTCTGTCTCTACACAAAATTGAGAACCACTGGGCAAAGGGTTAATATGGAGGGATGAGAAAGGGTCTTACTCAGAGTACATATGGAAAGCTCTGGAGGTCTTCCTTTTGTTTTAAAATGATCAAATAATAAAACGGGTTTTGACCTCTATGGATTTTATGACACACATGCAGACTTACCTAACTACCACCACAATTAGGACACAGGCGCGGTGGTCATCTCTGACCACGCCTTTGTAGATCCTGCAACCCAAACCCATTGCTTTTGGGAACCACTCATTTATTTCTCATCCCTCACTTCTGTCTTTTCAAGAATGTCATTTAAATAGACTCACAGTATATCATACAATATATAAGCTTCAGAGACTACTTCTTTCAGTGTAATTAATGGCTTCTGAGAGTCATCTGAATTAGTTTATATCAATGTTTTGTTCCATATTAGGGGTTCTCTTTTCGCTATTTCATTAACTATTTTTAAGTAACATTTATTTATTATCTACTATGTTCCAAGGCAAAGGTCTTTGCACTTTTACAAATTGTTGCATTTAATCCTAACAACTACTGTTCCTTTACTGTCCTTGTTTATAGACAAAGAAATAGAAAGTTCACATAACTTTCTTAAGGTCACACAGTCTGTGTGTAGCAGAGCCTGATATGAAAATCATGAATTCTCACTCTAGAGACTAGCAGCCAGCAGAAGACATAGTAGTTATGTCACTGGACTCCCACATGACCGATCAAGGTTCAAGTCCTGAACCCGGTGGCTTGAAACACACTGGGTATGTGTGCATGCATGCCCAAGATCCCAGGAGGAAAATGGAGGAAAAAGGATTATGGTGTGGCCATCTCCCCTGGGGGGGGGAATTTCTCACTTTCCCTCTCACTGTCTCTGTTTCTCTCTCTCTGGTGAGTACATGCACCTTACAACAAAAACCCACTACAACAAAAACCTCTTAAAAAAAAGAGACCATATTCCTAAATGCTATGCTCTTAGTGGTACAGAGAAGCCTTAGTAGGTAAATAAATACCAAGGAGGGAAGAAAGGAATAGAGGAATTAGAAAGATTTTCATCAAATCTTGCTTTAGGTCTTATACATTTTTGAAGTAGACATTTAAAATATTTATATTATCTACTCGGGTGCTTAATTTTTGGAATGTTTAGGTATGTTTTGTATAGGGACAAACAGTTGGCATAATGGCTATGTTGCTGGACTCCCATGTGGTTGACCACAATTCGAGTCCTGAACCAGGTGGCTTAAAACTCATGCTGGGCACGTTTGCGTGTGTGCATGCCCAAGATCCCAAGAGGAGAATGGAAAAGAAGGGACTGCAGCGTGGCCATCCCCTCTGGGAGGGTGATTTCTTGCTTTCTGTCTCTCTGTCTATCTTTCTGGTGAGCGCACATACCCTATAGTAAAAACCTCTCACGCAAATACCCAAAATAAAAAACCTCTAAAAAAAAAAAAAAAAAAAACCGATATGTTTTGTATGAAGAATAAATGTCAATTTTAATTTTCTTAAAACTTTATTAAATGTAGTGGGAAAATAAACCAGGAAGGAAAATAATTTCTCAAAAACTCCAACTGGATTAAGAACTGTTTGAAGCCAAATAGTGAAGGCCAAATGGTGGTCCGGCAGTGAAACACGGTGCTCTGAGACTGACACACACGGGGAGGCTCTGGGTTTGCATCCAGACTTCTCTGAGTATGTCAGACTAAGGAGGCAAGCTGTTTTTCTCTTAGAATAAATAAATATTTTTAAAAAATGGGCCAGCAGGTGGCATAGTTGTTAAGGTGCTGGACTCCCACATGGTGGACCATGGTTCAAGTCCTGGAACTGGTGGCTTGAAATTCACACCAGGCATATGTGCATGCGTGCCCAAAATCCTAAGAGGAGAAGGCTTGGGGATGATTTCTCACCTTCCCTCTGTCTTTTTCCCGGACTCTCTCTGGCAAGCACATGCACCCTAGAACAAAAATCTTACAAAAACAAGCAAATAAAACCCAAAAAGCCATTTGATATTCCATGGAAAACTTGAGAACAATGATTAATGGAAGAGAAAGAACCAAACAAAGGTGGACCTTGAGCTGCTACCGAGCAGGACCACATCAAGCAGGATAAGCAGCTCCAAGCCAGCCCCTTTACCTGGTAACGTCCTGCATCCAGGACTACCATTTTGGGCGTCACACTGTTGCTGGCCTCATAATCTTGTAGTGGTACATGAGCTTCTGTGAGCTGTATCCCAAAGAGAGTGGCCAGAGAATTACTGATGCAGTATCTTTAAAAGGAAACAACAGAAAGTTCATTATCAGAATCTCATCTAATTGACTCTAAAAGTACTTATATTGTAAAATTTCTAACAAAGAAATCAACTTGAAATTTGGGGAAAAATTTAAGAGGTGCAGAGAAGAGATGGGAACAGGTAGCAATACATATTGTAATGTGGATTATTCCTGGTAAGCAATTTTCTGATTGCCAGATAAACTGTCTGGTTCCTTACAAGGGAGTGGGAATGAGGGTGAAGGCTACTAGGGCTCTCCGATGTCTCAGGCAGGAAAAGGCAAGAGCAGACATAAGACCACAACCACAAATGCTCATTCACCCTCAGCACCATCTGCACTGGGAAAGCGGCTACTGGAGCACCCTCGAGTGGGTGTGCTCACTGCAGAGTGAGAAGAAAGCGGTCTACATATTTCAAGCACCTTCACAAGGACGTGCTGTCCTTAATGATCGTGAAGAATTTCACTTTCCTGTAAGGGTCCTGAAGGAAATTTTCAATATGTGCTTCCAAAAGTCTACTCGAATTGCTCTGACTGAGCAGTGACATGGACAGAATAAAAGCGACATGCAGTGAAACTACCTTTGTTTGGAACTAGAGCTGCATAGCCATTCGCCCTAGCTGCCAAAGCAATAGCAAGCAAGATGGCAGAGGTGAATTCAATGCAGCACAAAGCATTATGAAGAAACTCTGTGCCCCAACTTACGCAATCTTCTTGCAAACTGCTAAAGCACAGAAGAGAATGTCATTTTCTTCGTGCCACTTGCACCTGTGGAAAAAAAAAAAGAGAGAGAGACTTTAATATCCTAACTGAAGTAGCACTGTTTATGCCAAATTTCTAACATACCCAGTTGAGATTTCTAATTTAATACACAGAAAGATTTTTTTCTTGAGAGATTTTTGCTATAGAAAGCATATATTTGCCATTGATAAAAAGAAAGAGACAGAAATCAAGAAATCACCCCCAAGGGGTGAGAGCCACACCACAATCCCTCCTCCTGCACTCTCCTCTTGGGATCTTGGGTGCATGTGTGTGTGCACACACGTTTCTGGTAAGATTTTCAAGCCACTGGGTCCAGGACTCAAACTGCAGTCAGTCATGTGGGAGTCCAGCAACATAACCACTATGCCATCTTGTGGCCCCCCAAAAAAGATTTTTTTAAAATAGATTTTAGGGTTGATGTTGTGGCCCATTGGCTAAGGGAGCTGGATTCCACAGAGTCAACCACTGTTTGAGTACTGGCCCTGGTAGCTTGAAAAACACATTGGACATTTGAGTGTGCATACTCAAAATTCCAACAGGGTGGAGAAATGGAGGAAAAGTGACTGTGCCCTGACCATGACTTACTGGGGAATCTTCTGCCCTCTCTCTGCCCCCCTCTTTGGCAATGCACTTGCCCTCTGGCAAAACAAACAAACAAAAACAGGTTTTATGTGTCTCTTCTGAAGCATATTCACATTATGACAACCACACATCAACATCACAGTTAGACTTTCGCCCTGAAGTAAAATTTTAGAGGCACAATGGCGGCCAAGGTTGGCAGGGACTCATTCACCACGTGCACATTATTTGCAAGTCTCTGTCCTAAGCACTAGGAACACAGTCCTGAATGGAACAAACTCCTACCCTGTAAAACTAACCCTAACCCCAACACTGACCCTGAGCTGAACTGAAACCCCCAAGACTGTCGACCTCAGATACATATTGTTCCATTGGCGACCAGATGTGAAATGAAAGCAATCTAAAAAGTAACAGTATATTCCAGCATTCAAATCAACCAACACACACACAGACACACACACACACACACACACACCCTACAAATCTTACAAAAACCTCACCCTAGGAAAATGCCTCCAAATCTAGTTATACTATTAATTGTGGCATTGATTTGTCAAAAAACAGAACTGCTTTATATACTTTGTTCAACCATCAATATTCAGTTTATAGCCTCACATCTACTTCCAAGTGTAACATGTTTCTTTTTTCTTTTTCTTTTTTTTGAGAGGTTTTTGCTATAGAGTGCGTGTGCTCACTAGAAAGACAAAGACAGAAAGACAGGAAGCAAAAAAAAAAAAAAAATACAGAAAGCAAGAAATCAACCCCCAGGGGGATGGCCACACTGCAATCCCTTCTCTTCCATTCTCCTCTCAGAATCTTGGGCATGCACGCACACGTGCCCGGCGTGAGTCCAAGCCACCAGATCCAGGACTCGAACTGTGATCAGCTACATGGGAGTTCAGCGACATAGCCATTATACTAACTGCTGGTCCCGTAACATGCTTCTTTTATGAGAATCCACTCCAAAGTTTTGCCATCAGGCCAGACAGCATGGAGTAAACACAGAGCTTCCTCCCTGGCCCCAAAGATCTCATGCACTCACGTGCTATGCGCACACAGGCCTTCACAGCCCTCTTCTACACGGCCAAAGGTCTCAAGTCTCCTCTCCTTCAGGCTCAGGGTTAGGGTTCCCCTTCTTTCCCAGCATACTCCTGCTCACCCACCTTCGGACAGCATCACCCCCACGGCCCATGTGTGCTCTCGGCAGATCACCCACTGGTTTCTCTTAATCCCTGAACTCTCACTCCTGAGCCACTGTTCAAGCCATTTGTTACTGGAAAGGTCCTCCCTTCAACTACATCTCTGCTCACAGAAATTCTATCCATCCTTCCAGAAGAACCAAATGAATATGTGTTTCAGAAAGTGTTTCTAGTCGTCAAACCCTACACTGAGGTGTCAGTGTAGGGTTTCTCACATTTGATCTATCTTAGCATCTTCACATGCCTTGTTGCTCTTACCAGACAGAAGACTGAGGGTAAGGCTGACCACGTCGCTCCTTCCCTTACTTTGCATAGAACCTCATCTCGTATCTCATGGACACAAGCTCTTTAACATGTGTTAAATGGCATAGCAGTAGTGAGACTGAACCCACACGAGGAGGAGCCTCGTGTACATCCCAGGACCTCCTGAGCATGCCGGGCACCATGTGTGCCTGCCCATCATCCAGGCTGGCTACAACTCGGGGTGGACTCCAGGGTAAGGACACTGCCAGGAGTAGTCCTGTCTATTACTATCTTTCTCTTTCACAAAAAAATAAATATTTTTTAAAAGTTTGCTAAATAGGGAAAGCTCATTAAGCTGGACTAAAAAACTATTTTAAAGTGACATCGAGATATAAAACCACACCTCTTAATACTGCTATGCTGGGACTTCTGGTTGAAGAGGTAGAACACATGCAAAAACTTACTCCATTTGCTCCAAAGACCCTGTCAAAATGACAGGCAAAGAGTAAAAATGGTAGCTGTCCACAATAAAGGAGAAAACAGAGAGAGGCCTCCTCAGAAAAGAGTTCAACAAATTCATGTAAAATAAAGAACATGAAGGAACAGTAACTGAGGAAGCTGAACAGAAGTCACAGACTTTGGCGCTCACAGAAGAGGCTACAGTGGGAGATTTTCCTATCAGAACCCTGGAGATGCTCTGGGCTCATGGGCATATCCCTGCCCAGAGAGCTAAGATCAGACATGAGGCCAAACTTCCATACAGAGAATAGAATAATCGACTTCTCTGACCCCATGGAAAGAAGAGAACCTTCTGGCAGAACCAGGCAGGAAAAATGGCTGCTGACACCCTAAGGCAACCCTCCCCACGTTCTGGCGTGTAGGGTTCTGCCTCCCATTTAACATCTAGCTCCCTGGTTTGCTTTCCTTCTGCAAAGCCTTATCAGCTGATAATCCCCAATGAACAGGATCTTTACTTACTGGGCTTTGCAGCCTCGTTTCTAAATACGAATGGATCAGTGATGATCAGACCTTCAAAGGAAGTCTGCAACATGAAAAAGACCAAAATAGGAAGACCACGCCTCACTACCCAAAAACTCAGGGATCAAAAGCAAAGCAACAGGCGTGACTCACCAAGTCCCTCAAAGAGATCCTGAAATGACTGCCTTCATTACCCCAGCTTTCCCTCACCTGGTCAACTCTCCCAACGCTGATGATGGCTTTCTGTGCAACATCATGGCAGTGTAGACCAAGAGGTACTAAGACCACACAGTCAGCCCCTGCCCACGTTTAAACTACCAGAGCTTGTTAGGGCTGGTGGATCCTCGTCTTCTCCATCTGCCCAGGTGACCTCATGCACACACGGTCAGGGCCACCAGGCAGAGGACTTCTTTCCTTCGGTGCCTGCACACAGTGGAAAGAATGCTGCTGTCACGAGAACCTCGGAACTCTAGGCCAGGACCCCCGGCTGTGTGCCTGTTATTTCACATGCAACATGTGCTACCTCAGGACATTCTAAGCTTGCTCCTCCCTTCCCACCTACCCAGAGCCTAGTCCGGAAACCTGGGCCCCGTCTTCCATTACTCCCC